CCTTCTTCTGTCCTCCGTGTACACCTGCACATATGTGCATCTACCGATACAGACACACATCCATACACATGACTACAATCAATCTTAAATATTACACATACAGATATCATATTACATATTTATATGTTTTATTTTACCAAAGGCATGGACTACCTCTTCTGTCTTAAAGTAGGAGTTACTTACTACAAAGAGACATTGTTGTGGGGTGCTTCACCAGGGAAGACCATTCAGACACAGAAAATTACCAAAAAAGAAAGCCTTTATTAGCAGACTGGCAACTACACTGGTCATTCGGGTCCTAAGTGCAGTCCTGAGCCATCTTTAGGGTAAGCTTTTATACAGAAAAACTACATCAGGGTGAAGTTTCAGTTTCTAAGCATTTCCATAGCTTAGGGGTGGAAAGCCCCTCTAACAATTATTATTCTGCAAAAACAAGCCAAGCATGAAACACAGAAGCTATAAATCTGCAGTTATCAGGAGCAAACAGGAACATGCTAACCCATTCTCTAGGCAGAGGCCTGCTGATGTGTTTTCAAACTCACACCTTGGTGCAGTTGAGCCACACCTACTGGTTCCCACACCCTGGGACAACTGCCTTTTAATGTTCAGAGGCTAGGTTCAGTCTGGACTCCTACATGGCGTATCTATGGTCAAGACGGTGCCTTATTACAACACTCAGTGAATGCTTGCATTTTTTCTGGGTTCTTTTAATGTGTCATGGCTTCCGTCAGTCATTTTCTTAATTTTGTTTGACACTGAAGCCAGTACCCCAAAACTAGATGAGGGATCTCTGATTTCCACTCAGCTCCCAGCTTTGAATGCAAGGATGGCATTTCTCTGTGGGAGCTCCAGCAATAACAGTAAAAACATGTAACAGCCCCCACCCCAAATCTGCATTCTACCTTAAAAAGTTAACCAAGAGTGGGAAGTCATCATTGAGTCTTTGAGCAGAGGGGCATGAACAGCAGGCAGTGAAAATGGGTGATGCCATCTGGAAGGATTGCAGATAGATGTCAGGACTGTCTAAGAATTATGAGTCTAGTGAGATGGGATTTATTCAGTATTGTTTCTTTGCTATCTAACTACTACTTCTCAGGTCTGGAGTTCTTCCATGTCCCATTCCTTTAACCTGTTTCAGATGGTGAGTTTTGCTTAAGAAAGGTCATTTTCAGTCTATGAAAACTCAGCACAGAGGGCCACAGAGGTTGGTTCAGAGATGCACATTTTATCCATCGGGGGCCAGTAGGATGCAGTGAGGTGTTTTCTGGAATTCTGAGAAAGGTAGCCAGTAGTTTTTCATTAGTCAAACAAACGAGGTTACGACACTGCAGTGACCTTGGACAATTTGCCACTGTACTGTGCCTAAACATTAAATATACACACAGAGACGAGTTAAACAGAGTTACAGGAAATCTTCATAATCTTCTGTGACCTTTCTTTACCCTTGACTATCTCACTTGACGTAAACTCGACTTCTAGCCTGTCTGACAGGTGCGTGATGCCCTCCTTTTGTGGTTTGTTTTAGCCAGTTTAAAGGAGTACCGACCGATCCACCAACGCACTTGGGTCAGTTTCTTTTCTAGAAAACAGCCTGGGCAAAGATCACTTCTAATTCTAAACTCATAAAAGGTGAAGCTATTGTTAAGATTTGAATGTGAAATGTCCCCCACAGCTTCATGTGTTTGAGTACTGGGTTCCCAGCTAGTAGTGGTGTGTTTTGGGGAGGTTGTGAAACCTGGAGTATGATATGTAGCCTAGATGGCAGAATGGGTCCGCCAGGGTGGGCCTTGAAAGTCATACCTGCTTCCGGGAGTGCTGCCACGTGAGGAACCCCAACACAGTCATCACCACGGAAGGTCTCCACTGTATTTGCCCCACCGTGACGGGCTGTACCTGAAATCATGAACCAAATAAACCTTCCTCCCTGAAGCTTCTGCTCTCGGTTTTGTTGCATTGATGAGAAAGGTGACCGACACAAGCACCGAACTGGATAAACTATGTCAGCTGTAACCGAACTGGATAAACTATGTTAGCTGTAATCTGTGCGTAGCTTTCACTTTTTGGAAAAGAGACTCATGGTCTATCAGAATCTGCGTATTGATTAGTCAGGGGTGACTGGGCAACTGCCTGTCTTTTTCTGGGGGGATGTTAGTGTGTTCCAGTTTCCGTATTTTTCCCAGAAAATAACTAAGTACAGACTTGTGCTTTAGCTCGACTCTCTAGGACCTTGTTGGGGTATTAATTATGCACATCTCAATTTGAGAAACTAGCTTACTAGCCAGTTGGTACTTCTCATTATGGTTGGATATCCCCAAGTCTTAGGGTACACCACATAGAATAAACTTTGGTTAGCCAAGGAGCAATTTAATGAACCCAACACCAGGCTTCCTGTAGCTCCACACTGTTGTCCAAGAGCTTGCCTCTCTACCTTCTATCGTCTCATGACAGATAACAAATGTGAGATTACAATCTTCCTAGTCACTTTAAAATTAAAATAGGTATTGGGCTGGAGAGATGACTCAGTGGTTAAGACCACTGACTGTTCTTGCAGAAGACCCCAGCTTGAATCCAAGTACCCACATGGCAGCTAACAACGGTCTATAACTCCAGTTCCAGGGGCTCTGACACCCTCTTCTAGCCTCCGTGGACATTGCACAACATGGGTACACTTACATACATACAGGCATAACACTCACGCACATAAATATAAAAAAATAGCTATTTTTGAATGGTTTTTTTTTTCCTGAATGTCTTTATTTGGCAAAACAAAAGGCTGACCGACTTCATTTGAAGCCCCTCACTTTCCTCTAACATATTTCCTACTCCTGGAATTTAATCTTAAATTCGTCCATAAAACTCAAGCTTGAAAGCCACTGGCTTATTGCAAATTCAGTGTTCATGCAGAGACTAAAACTAGAGCAGACTAAACCTCTCTTTACACGCAGGAATGATCTTGGTACAAAGATCTCATTTTGGAAATCTGATATGAAAAAAAATTACCTGTCTCAGCCTTCTCTTCTGTAATACAAATATTCACACGGATGTTAAATTTCAACATGATTTTATAAAGAATGTGGTAAGGGGTGTTTACTGAAAATATATGTTTAGGAGTTTAGAAGCTATAAAGTTCCTGTTGAGACTGAGTCTAAGTCTGTTCAGTAGACGTCACCTCTGATTCGTCTCCATTTCTTTTTAAAAATTTTATGTGTATGAGTGTTTTGCTGGCCATGTATTTAAGTGCACCATGTAATGCCCACAGAGGCTAGAACAGGGCTCCAGATGCCCTGGAACTAAAGTTATTGGCCACTTTTAGCCACCATGTGGTGCTGGGAACCAAACCCAGGCCCTTTGAAAGCACAGCCAGTGCTCTTAACCAGGGAGCCATCTCTGCAGGCTCATTTAGTCTCTTCCTCCTAGCCCAAACAGGAATGGAAATCATAGCAGCGTTTTCTAAGCTGTATGATTTTGTCCCCCAGGGAACACTTGGAGACACCAGCAAATGTCTTTGGCTAACACAGAGAAAAGGCGTGTCTCTGGAACATGTCCAGTAGATCCACGCACAGTACCCTTCCCTACAACACAGCACCAACAAGCCCCAAATACCACAGGTGCCGAGGTTAAGAAATGCTGCCTTACAGTGTGGATGACTGAAATGCAAAGCACCTGCAGCAGCAAGCACTCCTCAGGTGTTGGCCACTATCAGGGCCAAGCTTTGTGCCGAGTTCTATATACTTTCTTCATTTGACTTCTACTTGTTAGGGATGTAGCTTGCTGGTAGAGCACCAGCTTATGCCCAAGACACTGGGCTCCAGCCTCAGCACTGAAAAAATATCAATAATTCAAACTACCCACATTGAAGAGGAACCATTATTTCATAGGGGAAAAGAAGATAATCTGTTTAAACCATTGTTACTTAGCAACAGAACTGTTGCTCAAATGCTGGTTTACATGACCCCACCAAATTTCCAACTATCCCTAAACTGAGTCTCAGCTGTTACAGCAAATTGGGACTTCTGCCTTAGAATCCCTCCAAATTCCCATGCTGTGCTGTCTTCCTGACACCCAGGCCTGGGCGATTCAGCCCAAATGTCCATTTCTTTCATTACTGGAGAGAACTAACTCTAGTGCAAGGTTTTCTCCAATTTCATGAAGCTGTTTTAATAGATTCTTCCTTTGAGAAAGTTAAAAGGTACTGACAGCTAACATCCATTGCAACTTCTCCAGTTACAGCCTTAAAGTTGTAACCATATGGGGCTGGAGAGATGGCTTAGTGGTTAAGAGTGTTTACTGCTTTTGAAGAGGACCCAAGTTCGGACCCAGGCACCCACATCAGTTGGTTCACAACTGCCTGTAACTCCAGTTCCAGGGAATCCATCACCTCTGGCCTCCAAGGATACACACATGTATAAGCTACACATGAAACAGATGCAGACACACAAGTGTATAAAATAAATCTTTGGGGATGGAGAGATGGCTCAGTGGTTAAAGAGCACTGGCTGCTCTTGCAGTGGATCCAGGTTTGGTTCCCAGAACCCACTTTGTGGCATTTTTAACTCTAGTTCCAGGGGATCTGATGCCTCCTTGGGCATTGCACACATATGATGCACTTCCATACAGACAAGCCAACACTCATACATGTAAAATAAATCTTTCAAAAATTGCAACCATATTCTTAAAACAAGAAAATCATGGAACCAACCGACAGAATTCTGGCGCTGCCTGGAGAGAGGTTACAGAAGAAAGTGTACATGATGTGGATTTAGGGATTTATGGATTTAGGAACATTTATGAAGTATAAGAGGGGTCATTTTAAAGACTACAAATTTTCAGCAATTAAAAAAGCAACCTTAGAAATAGAAGCACACAAGTCAGCATTCAGGAGGCTGAGGCTAGACTGCAAATTCAAGGCTACCCTTAGCTATAAGACCTTACCTCAAACAAAAACCTTACCAAACCTCAAACAATAAGACCTTACCTTAAACAACAAAAACAACCCAGAGCACACTGCAATAACTAACTTTATTTGTTCAAGAGCTCATAGTGCAAGCATTAAACAAGGCTGGGCTTTGATCCGTGAGCTCATATCACATGTAAGGGGAGAAGCAAACTGTGACCCATATACAGGGCTGAAGACTAAAGGCTCAGGGTTAATCACATTGTAGTTTGTAGATTTCTACAGCCTAGAACCCGGGAGTCACAGGTCTTTCAGATCCTTCTGGATGTCCCACAGGGTGTCCGCGCTCTTCCTGAGCTGAGCGACCTCATCATCTTTTAGCTTCTGGTTGATGACACTGGTTAACCCCCGAGCATTGAGGATGCACGGGAGGCTCAGGAAGACTTCATTTTCAATGCCATACATTCCCTGTGAGAAGGGGAAAGCATTTAGATTGTCAGGAAGCCATAGTAGATAAGAGTCAAAACACTACGTGGTCACCAAAGCAACTGTAGGGGATATGACACACACAAATTCGTTCTCTTCATTTGACAGGTCCATATGTTTCCTAATCAGGTTTTTAATTATGTTTACTATTTATATTTAGACTATGCAAACTTACTCTAGGATAAAACTAGCTACAAGAAAATAAGTCCTTATATTTTTAAATTAAACACTATTTCCTGCTTCGATACAATTTAATACGATTTGCTATATGAATCTTTGAATTGTTTTCAACCATGGTCCTTAATAGACTGCTTTCCATGAAACTCCTAAGTCTATTTTCAGATAAGTAGAGAATTTAGCAGGTGTCAATACTGAACATGTGGATGACCACCTCTGAAGGACCATTAATAGTTGATAATTATTAAAAGTCAGGATTCTCTCAATACCCCCAGAACTGCTGATGAAATAGTGTAACTTCCAAATGCTCTACCAGTTAGGGAGAGGAATTTATTCACAGGGTCAATTATACTATATAACTAATATGATTATTTCCTTTTTGAGACAGGGTCTTGCTATGTAGCCCTAACTTGGCCTGGAACTCCCTATGTAGACAGATTCCAGGCTGGCCTCTATCTCAGAGATGCATCTGCCTCTGATTCCCAAGTACTGGGATTAAAGGCATGCACCACCATGCCAGTCACTTAATTATTTTTAATAAGTCACCTTAATCTTTAAAACTATTAACTTCTAAATGTTTTGTACATACACAAAACTAGAGAAAATATTCATATATAGATATATCTACACATATCTAAAGACTGAACAATTAATTTTTCCTCCACGTTTACTTTATAAAGTTTCTATAGTATTGTAAACCAAATACCAGATGCCATGTTTTACCCAATTGTGTGTGTGCGTGTATGTGTGTGTGAGAGATATGCATGCCTACATGGGTATATGAATGTGTGTACATATGTGTACGGAGCCAGAGGTTGGCTTTGGGTGACTTCCTTGATTGCTCTCCGCTTATATTGTCAGTGCCTCTCACTTGAACCCACGGTTCAACAGTTCAAAATGCCTAGCCCGTCACCTTGAGCTAAGAAATCTCGTCTATTTCTCCCTTTCACGCTTTTCCACACTTGACACTGACATGTGGAAAATGGCTCTGTTACTTCACACAACACTAATATAACTTCTGTCCAGTAAATTTATTTCTCATGAGGGCTCATGCTGCCCAGGGAGACTTCAAACTTGCTATGTATCTGAGGATGACTCTGAGGTTTTTTGTTTGTTTGTTTTTTTAATAGACTCTGAGTTTTTGATCCTCCTGCCTCCACTTCCCGAGTTCTAGGATTACGGGTCTGCACCGTCCCATCTGGTTTATGTAGGGTTGGAGAAATCAAACTTAGGGTCTTATGCACACCAAGCAAGCACTTTACCAAAGGAACTACATCCTTATCCCTTGTTCAACCAATTTCTATTTACCTGCTTGGTATGTTTTCTCATGGCTTTCAAATTAAACTAAATATGCTAAGGTATCAAGTACTACTGGAAAGGTGGTCTAGAGTTTATTATGTAAATTTAAAATGAATCTATTACATGTCCATTTAAATGACATAAAGGTGGCCCTCAAGAGGATTCAGTTAATTTTTAATTTGCCTCTTTATACAAGGAAGAATTATCAGAAAATGTACTGGATGTCTTAGCGCCTACAAAGTTTAGTTCTCTTTCCTATACTTTCATTGATAAAAGAAAAAGTGAAGTTTCCATTTATACCTAGAGGCAGAAATAAGTACAGCCTGTAACTTTGTCATTCTTTAACTGAATCTCTGGAAATCCTATTACAGTTTGTACTAGTTTATCTTACCTTCACCATTGTTGACACTGGGTGAATCCGAGATAGATTTTTCAACATGGATTCAATGAGGTCAGCCACACTTAACCCAATAGCCCAGTTGGTATATCCTTTTAGCTTGATGACTTCATAGGCACTTAGAAAAAAAATAAGACCAAGAAAGAGATCATTGAAATCTGACCCCTGGGTTGACTCCTGCTCTGCCTCTACTGTGATCTTCAGCCAACTTCTGAACCTTGCAGGCCTCAGAGTTCCTTTCTTCGCAGTGGAGAACATGTGATCTGTTTTGTAAGCTTTTTGTGAGTTCCCACTGAATTAATGGTCATGTAAAACATATAAGCATAATGACTAGTAGTTGATAATGTTTTTGATAAATTTAAATAGTGTATTGCATCAGTGAATACTAATAAAGTCACTGGTAAAAATGCATATTTTTAAAAGATGTATTTCATTTTTAAAAATTTATGTAGATTTGCAGGGTGTGGTGGCACCTACCTTTAATCCCAGCACTTAGAAAGCAGAGGCAGGCAGATCTCTGTGAGATTGAGACCAGCCTGGTCTACATAGTGAGTTCTGGGCTAGCTGAGGCTACAGGGAGACCCTGTATCAAACAAACAAAAATTATATGAATTGGGAGAGGGGCTATGTGCATGAGTGTTGGTCTCCATGGAGGTATAGGATCTCCCTACCCCCCACCGGAGCTGGAGTTATAGGTGGTTATGAGCTGCCTCATGTGGGTGCTGGGAACTGAAACTTGGGTCCTCTGTAAGAGCAACATGTCATCTCTCCAGTCCCTAAAAACGTACATTTTCAACCAATATAACTTACCTAAAAGTGTACATCCATACATATGAAATCAGGAAATGAATAAAAGGATAAAACAGGCTTTCATCCAAGTGAGCATGGTATTCTCATTCATAAAATCAAGGCATTAAGTTGAAATTCTAAGGACTTTTTCAACATTGAGATTGTTTTCTTCTATATACAAGTCAAAGTCCACAAAAGATATTATCAACTAAATTGTTTCATATCTGAGGTATCAATCTTCTTGCAAAAACTATCTGCAAATAATGTTTATTGAATGCTTATCACTGATAAACATGCATGTGTAGGGGCTTTAACTTACTTCTAACAAGTCTACAACTCTTCCATTTACATACTCTAAAGGAGTTTTAAAATAAAAATAAATTTTTAATGTGTATGAGCGTATTGCCTGCATGTATGTAAGTACACCTGTGTTGTGCAGTTTCCATGGAGGTCAGAAGAGGATGTTGAATGCCCTGGAACTGGAGTTACAGATGGATGTTAGCTACCATGTGGGTCCCGGGAATCAAACCCATGTTCTCTCCAAGAGCAGCCAGAGCTGTTAACCACTGAGCCATCTCTCCAATTCCCACACTAAAGGATTTACAAAGAGAACAGGGACGTATGATTTATATAGATCAAGGTGAAGACAGATGAGACCCATATTGAAGGTTGAATCGTTTCCCAATGTCATAATTAGCTTCAGTGTCATGATTTGAATCCAAACCCATATTATTGGCTCTGTTTCAAAATGATAACTATATTTTGAGCAGGAAGATCAGGAAAGTGGTGACAGAGCGATTTCAGAAAACGGAAAGGGCTGCGAGACATTTTTAAGTGTGAAAGTAAGCACAGAACTGCTTAAATACACATTTGTTCAGGCAGTTACATAACTAACAGTGTCTAGGTTTACCTTGCTGGATAAAGCAAGCCGTATCTGTTGACACAAGGCAACGCGAAGGCCCTTCTCCCTTGGTAACTCCACGTTTGCCTCTGTAGCTAACTTTCTCTTTCCCTAGAGGAAAGACTAGCACAGCAAGCCTGACCAGTCTCAAGTAATCCTGACCACTTTTCAAGATAATAACTGTGTGCTCATCACATGTAGTTACACGAGCAGGTAGCCAGGGAAATGGCTTCTGATTTTATCTGAGGAACAGAAACTGGGTCCTCCTAAACCCAGCGGTCCACACTCACCTGTCTACCACCATCTTATGCACCTCCTTCCAGTTCTCACTGTCGTTGTCCGTTCCCATTTCTGGATTTAGTTCCTGGAGAGAAACGCCTGCCACATTCACCCCACTCCACACAGCCACTGTTCAAAAACAAAAACCTTTTCTTACTTTAGATTTTCAACTCTGATGCAAATTTCCCTAACACCAGCTGGTCCTGCTGCTATGACAAACATTCTTAGTAGAGTCCCATCGCTTTGGGGGAGATACTTCTGATATTTGCCTTGAACATCTACCATATATGTGTGTGTTATGTGTATGTTTATGTAGGTATTTGCACCTGACCACAGTGCCCACAGAGTCCCAAAGGCGGCACTGGACATCCCGGAGCTAGATTTATAGGTGGTTATGAGTCACCCAACATGACTGCCAGGAACCAAGATCAGGTCCTCTGTAAGAACAGTATGCATTCAACTGCTGAGCCATCTCTCCAGCCCATACTTCTAGATTTTAGCTTTCAACCAATCTGGCTTCAAACAATCACTGTGTCAGTTATACGGAACAGGAAATTCTTTCCCTCTCTAGGTGTGTAAAACCACAAGGGTTTCTAGTTTGGGACCATCCTAAACTCTCAATTTGAGAAACTGAAATTTCCCTTGTGTGTACTGTTTTCTAATACAAGTCCTCGTCTTATAAAATTTAAAAAAATCTATGCTAATTTTTATAAATTATCATAAAAATGCCTTAAAATATAAACAAGGGTCGAGGCTGGAGAGGTGGCTCAGCAGTTAAGGGCACTGGCTGCTCTAGGACCTAGGTTTGATTCATAGCACCCACACGGTGGTCAAGAACCATCCATAACTCTAGTTCCAGGGATCTAATGCCCTCTTCTGACTTCTGAGGGTATTACATGACATGGGTGCACTTATATACATGCAGGCAATATACTTGAGCACATAAAAATAATTAAAAAATATATAAATAAGGGTCAACAGAATTCAGGGGAGAATGTCAGAAACATCTAGAAATACTGGCATGGGAACCAGACATTGGGACCACAGTCATGTGTTCCTCAGGGACTTTTAGAGAACACGACTGACTCATGAAGTGTGAACAAAGGTGGAGGTATAGTCTAGCATGCATAAACAGCTTTGTGGGGTGAGGTTGTTCATGGCTAGTAAGACCCTGTGGTCCATAGTTCTGCTGGGCCAGGCAAACTGGATATTCTCATTCTGTGATGAACACTAAGAAATCTGTGTAATCATGCACAAGTGAGAATGGTTTTCCTTTATTCCATATAGATAAATACAGGTCAAAATAGAAATTTTAAAAAAAGTGTTTTGGGAAAAGTGACCCCATAATGAAAGAACAGGGCACTGCACATCAGAAAGTCAGAAAACATCCTCTAACATGACTTGGAAGTGGCCACAGCCTGGCTTCCCCGCCTGAGTGGTACTTTTGTGCAAGTATGTGAGCATCATGTACTCACTGTGAGGAAACAGACACCCACATGGATGGACATTCATGTTTCAAAAATGTCAACACCATGGAAACACGAAGATGGAAGAACATTCAGGACTAAGGGGAACTCGGGAAATGGATGGAATGCATGTCATCAGGATGGACCCTGAACCAAGAAAACAAGTGCACAGGACTGAGACAGCGGTGACCTCTGAAAGCAAACTGAATTACATAGGATGGGTCAGTGTGACACCTCCTGATTTTGCCAAATGGACTGTGGTGACAGAAAAGAAAATCCACCAGACGTAGATCCCAGCAATCAGGAAGCGGTGGCAGGAGGATCCGGTGTTCAAGGTCATCTCCTGCTATATTAGGAATTTCAGGCCAACCTGGGCTACCTAAAACCCGCCCCAAAAGCAAAAACAACAGGAAAATAAAGGAAAAAAAAGAAAAAAAAAATGCTTGCTGCCATGCCAGGCAACCTAAGTTTGAACCCTGGGACCTATGTGATAGCAGGAGAGATTGACTCCTGACACAGGAGCACACACCACACCATGAACCCACGCTCATGTAATGATACATTTTTAAAAGACAGATGAATGGATGGATGATAGGTTGGACAGAAGATATAGATATGAGGTAGAAAAATAAAGCAAACTGGAATACAATACAAAAGTCAACTATGCCACTTTTGAGTCTGCTTTTTATTGTCTCCCAGCTGGCCTGGAATTCATGTAGACCAGGGTGGTCTCGATCTCACAGAATTCCATCTGCCTCTGGAGTGCTGGGATCAAAGGCATGCACCACCCTGGCAGGCTTACTTCTGAACCTTTACTGAGACACATCAAGGCATATAAAACTAAAATTTGAAATAAAGCAAAGCATTAAGAATGGTCCTAGCAACCGAGACAGGCAGGGAACTGTTCTTACCACTGGAGTCACCATGTTCTCCCAGAATCCACCCATGGCAGCTGCTGGGGTGAATACCAAGTTTCTCAGCCATCAGATAGCGAAACCGGGCAGAATCCAGATTGCATCCGCTTCCGATCACACGGTGCTTGGGTAGCCCGCTTAGCTTCCAGGTGACGTATGTCAGAATGTCCACTAAATATTTTAGAAGAAACATAGGTAAGTAAGTAGGAACCATGGAATCCATTTGTGGGTGCTCTGGCTCCCCACATCTCTCAATGGGTGCGCAGAAACAGATGTGTACTTTAATTTCTCATGGATGGGTCAGACAGACGAGAATGGAGCATTATTAAATTCTAAAACATGAAATATGTGAAAACTGTACTTTGATATGTTATTACATGGTCCAAGATTACAAATGAACCTTGCAAGTCAATTAGCTTTAACATGAAAGAAATCTAACCCGTAGGTTTCTAACAGTCCTTACATCCCATGAGGTGAAGACTGTCATCACAAACCAAAGCAGCCATTTCTTACTAAGTTACCAAGGTGTGCTAGTATACATTTTCTTTGGGGATACTGTTCTACAAACTAGCACAATAATACACGGCCTTACTATCTTAGGACAAGACAACTGCAATGCAACCTTTGTTCCAGTGAGGCACAGCTGGTTCAGACAGGATCACGGCACTTACACTCTAAGCTGGAAAGAGCAGGAAAATGCACACAGGCAGGCAAGACACTGGAAGAGAATCCAATAATCTCCACCCCTGCACAGCCTGCTAAGATATTTTAGGCACACTCTGGACTGGATAACTCCTTTTCCTTAACAACTTTAAGGCATCGGAAGTGGCTCCCTGGAGAATTAGACTTTGAATCTCTACCAAGAAAGTTACATAATCGGAGAGTGACATCAGCTGAGATACGGGATGCAGGGACACAACAGGGCTGCGTTTGCCACTTGCTCTACATCTACCTGGCACACAACACTGATACACAGGACTGCAACATTCAGAAGTCCCAATCCAGACCTGCAGAGAACGAGAGGCACGCAGTGATGGAGCCCAGCTCTCAATGCTAAAAGGACTGTGAGGGTTCCCCAGGCTTATTCACAATCCGCTTGGAAGTGAGGTATCACAGGAGGTTAATCAGTACACCTTCTGTGCTCACCAACGTGCTACAGTGGCAAACTACACCAAAGAAATCTGACACTGGGCTGGACGACAGAGCTTAATGGTGGAGCGTTTGTCAGGCATGCAAGAGATCCTTCAGTTCAATCTCCAGTTCACACAGAGAGAGAGACACCAAACTTGAACCATTTAGGTTGTCACATGACAAAATTACAATTTACTTATAGGACCTTAATTCACCTTCATTTTGAAAAAAAAAAAAAGTTCTGAAAAAGTTTTTATAAAGAAAAACAAAAACACAACTTGGCCTTTAAAAAATTACTTTCTTTTCACAACCAGGACAGAAACAGAACTGGTGAATACCAGGTTATTTTAGATGACTTTGGTGTGAGGGTTAAAGTCACGCACCAACTGGAACAGGTCCACTTGGGAAACGTGGCTTATGGTGCCTTTTGTCCCGGTTTATCAATTCAGGTGAATGACTTGATAGCAGCTTGGGGACTCGGACTCTGGTGTGAGTGACTCCACTTTTTTAGCCTGGCCTACTGGGGCTCAGTAGGAGCCCTAAACAATGGCCTCGTTTCCTTTTTATTCATTAGGCTAAAATTGTAGTGTTTCCAGCCAGGAGTTTCAATATCTACTCTGCAGTTGTGTTTAGCAAGGAAAGGTTTTAGGTCACATTTTCTGTCAGTCATATCAATCCATCAATAATCTGGATCTATTTTTATTTAAAAGATTTTGAATTTATGTGTATGAATGTTTTGCCTGCGTGTGTTTAAGTGCACCTACGTTGTGTAACGCCCAGAGGGCAGAAGTGGTTGTTGGATTCCCTGGAGCTGGAGTTACAGATGGTAGTTAGTGCTGGGAACCAAACCCAGGTCCTCTGCAAGAGCAGCCAGTGCTCTTAACCACTGGGCCATCTCTCCAGCTCCAATAGTCTGTATCCATTTTTATGAATGACATGAGTAACTTTCTTAAATTTTTTTCAAATTTAACCTGATTCAGGGATTTTGGAGATAAGGACATTAGAATAAATTTGTGTATATTTAAGTTGTGTAGAGTATGTGTACCTGTTTTTGTGAGTGCATGTGTGGGCAGAGGTCAGAGGGCAATGTTGGTTGTCTTCCTCAGTTGCTCTCCACCTCATTTTTTTCGAGACAGGGTCTCTCAGTGAACCTGGAGCTCACTGATTTGGGGAGGCTGACTGGTCAGGTAGTTGCAAGGCTCCTTCTACCTCTGCTTCCCTGGCATTAGGATTGTAGAAGCAAGCTACCATGCCCAGCTTTTGCTTTCTTTCTTTTTTTTTTTTTTTTTTTGAGACAAGGTCACTCTGTAACCCCAGCTAGCCTAGAACTCACTATGTAGACCAGGCTGGCCTTGAACTCACAGAGATCTGCCTGCCTCTGCCTCCTGAGTGCTGGGATTAAAGGTGTGCACCATCAAGCCTGGATTTTCCGTGCCAGGTTTTTTATCGAGTGCTGGGGATCCAAACTCTGTCCTTGTCCTTTCACAGCAAGTTCTTTATTGATTGAGCCACCTTCATAATTTTTTAAAATGTAAAGCTCTTTTTGGGGGGAGGTGGGTAAGACAGGGTTCTTCCTGTAGTCCCAGCTGGCCGGGAACTTGCTATGTAGATGAGGTTGGCCTCAGTCTCACAGAGATCTGCCTGCCTCTGCTGGGATTAAAGGCATGAGCCACCATGCCCAGCCACACATAAAAAGGTAAAGCTTTATAACTCTGCAACACACACAGATGAAACAAGACGAAATCACAGGACATGAAGGTCTGCTCAGTTTTGAGCATTTGGCCTGGGTTGGGGCCATCTGCTTTGCCAACACCATCTTTTTGTGCCAGTAACAGAAGACATGCGGACTGTCAGTGAACACTGGGAAGGATATCAATCCCAAACAGTAAGGTCTCTCAACACTGAGCCAGAATAAAGGGGACATCAAGTGCTATGTGCTCCGACCTGGGTTGGACACGACGATGATGGTACAGTCAGGGCTGTACTTGACGATCTGAGGAATGATGAACTTGAACACGTTGACATTTCTCTGCACCAGGTTAAGCCGACTCTCCCCCTCCTGCTGACGGACTCCCGCAGTCACTACCACAATCTTAGAATTGGCTGTCACGGAGTAATCTAGAAGAGAAATGGAACCTGAACCACAACTACTCGGACAGACGTGCCATCTATAGAACGGTCTAGAAGCCTCACTATATATAAGCGTAAGCCTCATCAAACAAATTTCTAGAACTTTGGAATTTTCTGTACTAAAACTTTAAGACTTATTTTTACTCATGGGTATATGTGCATGTATATGCTGTGTACTTGAGTACAATGCCCTGGGAGACCAGAAGAGGGCTTCAGAGTCCCCTGGAGCTGGAATTACAGGCAGCTGTAAGTTGCTTGATGTGGATACTGGGAAGCAAAGTCAGGAACCCCACTCCCAGAGCTATTAACAGGTTTTGAAGTCCAATGCTGCTTCTCCAACTACGTTTGTTTTTCTTCCTGTGACAATGAACAATCCAGCTCTTAAACGGATGGACAGTGAGCCAAGGAAATAAAACCCCTAAAATACGTTAGTGGGTAAGAAATCCACTGGATTTGCAGAAGCTGATGCACAGTAAGCCCACAGACTTCCGACAGAAAAATCATGTTTTCGCATTCCTAATTTAGTAAAATGAAAGAATAGGTAATAAAAACATTCAATTCTGAGTTGCTTTTCGGCATATGGTAATACTGACAGCTATGACGGAAAAGAAAAGTACTGTTTGGTTCTGACTAAAAACTAATTTTAGGTTTTTAATACTCAGTATGTTAAGGGATGGTTCACACCTGTAAGCCCAGCACTCATGAGGCTGAGGCAGGAGGATTGCCATGAGTTCAAGGCCAGCATTAACCATACAGTGAGACCCTGCCTCAACACACACACACACACACACACACACACACACACACACATAGATACACAAACATACATGCTTCTATAATATACACACACACATGGGAGATTATTCATATTTTAGCAGTGTGAATCTCTTTGGAGAATATTTTTCTTCTAAGGAAGTGTGCTAATATTTCAAGACATATAGACCATGGATGTCCCATTTAGGCTGAGCAGCCCATAGTCTCATTTTCTGCACACCAACTAGATACAGTCTCTGTGTTAATCACCATCTACTGCCAAAAGCAGCTTCTTTGAGGGTTAAGAGATGCTTTGCCTCTCCCAATCACCTTCCAGATCCATCCCCACCTATCCACCCAACTCCATTTCTTTTTTATTGAGTCCATCAAGCCAATTTGCCCAAATACTCTTGGGTGTAGGGATACCCCCAGAGCACAGTTGCTCCACCAGGGGTCACATTCTTAAAGAAAACCGACTCTCCCCCTCCCAGCAGCTATCAACTGCCAATAGCTCCTTTGGTAGAGGTAAGACTTCATGCCCACCTCCCCCTCCAAAAATAAATATGAAATTCTCAAAGAATAAAGATATTTTAAGAAATACAGACTAAGATTTGACGTGCTCATCACACTCTAAAGCAATGGGCTCATTCATATCATTAAACTAGGTAGAAATGTGGCTTGTGGCAGTTATTGGCACTTTTCTTTAAAAATGAAGAGACGGTCATATCTACATTCTACAGGGCTGTGAAGATCAAAATTAAATGAATGCTACTGAGTCAATCACCGTTTTCTGATTCTTAAGACACTCAGTCCCTGGATTCAGAAGAAAGGAAAAAGCTACCAACTCTCCACTTACGGGTACACAAAGGTTAGTCCAACACCCACGTGGCAGCTCACAACCATAACTCCAGTTCCAGGAGGGTGGACACCCTCCTCTGGCCACACTGCATACACATGGTGCACATACACACATGCAGGAAAACACTCATATACTTAAATTTTTTTTAAAGGTGTATTTTAAAAATGGGAAATTAATTTTATATTTATTCTATGTGTGTGTGGATATTACTTATGAGTACAGGGGCTTGTGGAGGCCAGAGGTGTGACAGTTGATATGTGCAGTATTGGACCATCTCCTACACACACTCCCAGGATGTGATGTGTCAGCATGCTATGTGCACCTATTAGCAGAAAAGCTAGAAAATGAGCTTCTAGAAACTGATGAAGAAAAGTTGTCCTGTATGATAAGGCTGACGCACAATCAGCCAACACCGCCACGTGGCACAATTTGTTATTTTCTCTTGGTGATATAGCTATGGTCATTTTTGGAAAAGAACCTCGTTTCTAGTGACTCCACAAATTGTAAGAGAATAAAAAGTAGAGTGTAAAAGAGAAATAAGAATGGTTTTTAAATGAGAGAATAGGGGAATATTTACAAGCAGATGGAAGTTTTGTAGTATTTGAAATTATTCAAATAGATCACGGATGTTTTACTGTTAGCAGTTACTGAAGTAACTGTTCCACAATTTCAACTATTCCTAATTAAAACATAAATTTGGGCTGTGAGGGTATCTCAGTGGTAGCTAGCAAACACCTAGCATACTAAAAGGCTCTGGGTTTAATCTACAACACCAGATAATAGTAATAAATTTAAAATAAAAACTGTTTATTATTTTGTAGGCTGTATTCCAAGGACATATTTATAATAAAAATTAGTCCAACATCTAAGTGTTATTAGCAAAAAAATGAGTCTTTCTATAAGAAACAGTATATTTTAAAATGAAATGGAGATCTTTTTTAAAGGTTAAAAGCTCATTCAATTTTAGGTCTTACAGGGTTTATACTGAGTTCAATATTGTATAACTGTATTAATTCAACTGTGAACCTAAAAATTTTATAGCCACTTTTGAAAGATATCTATCTTTGCTCTGGAAATTGTTATCGAGGATGTTAAAGCTGTAATGAAATGCTTCTTCTAAAAAATAAAAAAAAAATTATGAGAAAAAAAATTAGTTAGACTTGGGTCATTTGGGAACAAACTACCTTTGTCTGCCACAATTTTAGGAGTCTGAAGGAATAAGCTCCCGTGCTGCAAGTCCATCATTTCGCCTTTGAGCTTGTCTTCCAGTACATCCACCAGGGCAAGCTCATCCGCCAGAGACTATGAACACAAAAGCAGGTGTTAGCTCCTGTTACAGTTTGAGTGTAAATACCCCTAAGGCTCAAGTTTGAACACTTGGCTCCCAGCTGGTGGTGCTGTTTGGGGAAGTTGTGAACGTGTAGGTGGTGAACCCTCACTGGAAGAAGTAGGTCACTGGGGGCAGGCCTTGAGGGTTATATCACAGCTGAGTCTACTTCCTGTCTCCACAGCCCTATCTACCAAGATGTGACAAGCAGCTCACAATCCTGCTGCCATGGCTTCCCTGCCATGATGGACCGTGTGCTAAAATAAGTCCGTCCTCCCTTACATTACTTTGTCAGGTATTTGATTATAGGGTTGAGAATAGAAATTGATGCAGTACCCTAAGCTGTATAGGAAAGCTCAGCATACAACCCAACCTAAAGAGACCCTTTAAATGGCTAAGCACCCAAGGGCTATGACTGGCACAAAAATTTACTTTGGAGTTAGGTAATCAACGAGGATTCAGTTAACATGATATAACTGCATTTTAAGAGCATGTACACAGACATTCCATTTGAAACTAATGGCTCAAGATAGACAAGAGTAAGTCTTCACATGAAGGTAAGCAGTGTACATATGCATAAACACACACGCACATGCATACACACACACACACACCAGTGAGACACACAGACTCAGAAACCTTGCACAGTGTATCCGTCTTAAGCTCACCCTAGTTCAGAGGTTTCTGGCAGAACAGATCTGATTTACATCTCCCAGAGCACATTCATGTTAGAGTTGAACTTGAAGTCCTGCTTGAAGTTCAGAATGCTCAGGTTGGCTCTGAGCAACTCAGTGCCTTGGTGGGAAAGACACCCAAGTCTTATCAAGAGTCCTCTCTTGTAGAAACAGTCCCCAAAGGACAGGGAAGGATAGCACTACCAAATACTGACATTCACTTTTATTTACTCTTTCACTTAAACATCTTCAGAAACTCTAAAAACAGTTGTTCCTTTACAGCCTCTATGATCATAGGAAATCCTGTGTATTTTTAAGTACTAAATTAATATAATCTCATTTAATAATAACCCAATATTCTGTGTAGGTACTGAGCACTAGGAATACCAATCTTTTAGTAACAGCACACGTGAACTACTGAAGTCAACAAAGTAACACAACTCGGGGCTTAAGTAGACTAGGATATGACAGGATGTCGGAACCTATCTCTGTTTCAGTGGGCGAGAGAATTAGCTGTTAAGTGCATGCTTAGGAAGGAAGAGAGCCAACACTGAAAAAAAAAAAAAAAAAGCGAAGTGCTAAATTTGGCTAGATGTGCAAGATGTATCACTCTCCTAGAGGCACACAAATAGCTGACACGTAAACCAAGAACTGATGGCATGGCAGATGTATGACTCAATCCCTCTCCACGTTATCTCAGGGGCTATGTGTTTACCCACATAGGCTGTTAGGGGCATTTCAACTGTCAGACACAGGTTTAGATGAATTGCAAAAGCAATCATCATCTTAAAGAGCAAGGTCAGTTAGAAGCCAAGAATGTCACTGTAGGAAGTTTGTTCAGTCAACCACAAAAGTGCCTTTTAATCTCAAGTCATGGGTGGATCAGGTATAGTTGTGTATTTTGCCTCTTGGTTAATAAATTACAGTTGCCAATGCCTTAGTATTTGATGACATCATGTTCCTACTCACGTGCTTATTGTGCATGAAATTTTGTGGAGGAAATGGTATAACTTTTCCAAATAATTAGTCAAGAGGATTTAAATACCATTTGTTTACTGATTCGTATTTTTTCTAGCCTAGTGATGTGCAGTGAGTTACTCTTTTGCTATGCTGGAGAGTGGCAGTCAGCTGCAGCTTCTGGAACCCAGGACCACAATACTCTCCAGTGTCCTATGTTGCTACTGCACTGGGTAAGATGTAGATCAAATGCACTTTATGTGTCTGTGGTGCTGAGGAACTGACTCCACAGCCTGTGCGCGCCAGGCAAGCTAACAATTAACTAAATCCCGAGCCCAATAAATGCATATATTTTACTTATATTGCCACCTTAGAGGTTTATTGGTACTTCTAGATTATTTAAAATGAAGCATCTTAAAACCATGGTATATTTGCACTATGTATTTTTATTTTTTGAGACAGGGTCTCCTTGTAACCCTAGCTGGCTTGGAACTCCCTATGTAGGCCAGGTTGACCTCAATCTCACAGAGATCTGCCTACCTCTGCCTCTAGAGTGCTGGGGTTAACGGCATGCGTCACCGGACCCAGCAGCAATATGTACCTTTAAAAAGAAATGTAAGCTGGACTGTTGTTTTTACTGGAAGGAAGCTTGAGCACTAAATTGTGATTATTTAAATCCTCTGCAATTTGAGAAACTATCAGAAATCAATGAAAACTGATGTAAAATAAAGCATAAAACAATGGGCTCTTTGAGTACTATTTCAGAGTTTGAAACGGGAGGCAGAGCAAGGTGGCTGGAGCCTGTAATCCCAGCATGCAGGGGGTGGAGGCAGGAGCATCATGAGTCTGCCGCTGCATGGGATGCGTAGTAAATGTAAAAATAAAATAAAAAGGGCTGGGGGTGTAATTTGGTGGATGAATGGAAGAGCACTTGCCTCCGATGCAGGGAGGCCCTGGGCTCAATCCCCAGGGTGGCAAAAAATGACCAGCAGCAGCAAAAAAATCCATTAAACTTCCCCAACAGAAGAAATACGCTTGGTCAGGAGTTACTCAGGCAGCCACTACACAAAGGACTCAGTGTGCTCCACAGTGGGCGTGGTGATGCTTCCCACACCGAAGGAAGCCATCAAAAGAAGCAAGCATCAGTTCAGCAGTTAAGTGAAACTTTTCTTTCCTGCAAAGCCCTTGAGATAAAAAATAACTACGTCTTGAACTACAAGAGCAGATGTACGTTCAGCCACACGTCTATAGAGGAACACTGGGAAAAGAAACAACTCTTAAGGAGTTAAAGCAGGGTTAAAACTGATGGAGAGAACAGTGATGATTATATAGGAATGTGTCCTGTGTTAGGAAATGTGCTCTGGAGAACTTAGCAAGCTTGAGTTCTCCAGGTTATTCTCAGTTTAGAGACGCACACATGCACGCATGCACACATGCGGAGGGCCCAAAAGAATCTCACAAAATGTTGAACTCTGGTAAATATGGATGTTTATGTTTTTATCTTGAAGATTTATAAGTAGATTTACAAATTTTTTGTTAAGTTTGAAATTATTTCAAAATAAAGCCACCGGTTCAAAGTTTGAGGGGAATCATAGGACATTCTTGCAAACTCAGAAAGCTACCTCACAAATACCTCTGATGTCCAGAAGGCAGAGACCTTTGCAATGAAGAAGTCATTGCCCCTTCAACCACAGGCTTCAATTCATCCCCCAGAAGCAAGACAAGTTAACATCTTGATTCCTGATGTGACACCCCAAGGGCAAGCTATCATCTCATGAAACACACCCATCAGATTCAAAGTGACCTAATTACCAGAAAACCCTGGACAAGCATAAACTAAAAGGGGATGCTATAAAACTGACCTGGATGGTAGAGAAACAAAAACAAATCCAAACCTGACATATAGAAAATAAATCTATCTCAACGATGTGAAAGACAAAGAAAACTAACAGTTCCTAATTAAAGAAAAACAAGATTTGGCAAGGATGTAAAACCTAAGACCTTGAACTGAGTTGAAAACAGGTATCAAGGGCACTATTTTGACAACATGGCAAGTTAAATACGAATACTGTGGGTCAGACCACAACAGCACAACACTGTTAAATTCTTCCTGGGCTATCAATTCCAGTGCAAAACAGGACTACCAGAATTCTCTGAGACGGATGCTCAAGTACTTAAAAGTGACAAGTCATGACACATATAAGTTATTTCATATTCCCGGGGATTAGGGGGGTGTCTTCTAAAGACAACTCAAATCTGAGGGTGCATAGGCAGACTGTGCATTCCTGCTGAATTGTGATGCATGGTGCTGTTCAAACATACCTTTCCCAGAATGCTGATAGCACATGCCATACCGACTTGTCCGACACCCACTACGGTGATCTTATTGTTTGGAACAGCCGTCTCCTCTTCTGCCACAGGTGCAATGAGTTTTTCCTTAAGGGTCGCCATTTCACCCTGAAAGAAAAGGATCAAAGAGTGTGTGTCCATGTAGCAAATTTGGGTGCGATTCCCCCCAAAATATTACTGTGAGTTAAGAGCAGGTTGACTAGAGCCTAAGGGATCCATTTGAAGGGACCATAAGTCTTATTTAATGAAGGACTCGAAGCAGAAATCTCCCGGAGAGCCTCTTGAATTAAGATTCTTCCTTGAGCTGAGGACTTTGTGCAAGCAAGTACCTAATAAGTTGCCACCATCAGCCTTATGGGCACGTTTGTTATAACCAGTCATTACCAGCTAAGATATGAACATTTATATTTTAAAAAGCTAATTTCTTTTGCTCCTGTAAAGAATTTGTGTGACTATGGGAGCTAGTTAAATCATATTTAAACTTAAGTTTAAAAAAAATAGTCATGAATGTAATTCCCATTATTAATGATTCCCTTCACTCTTGGAGGACAAAGACTGATTCTTTTACTTTATTACTATATTTTGTGCAGGGTAGGAGACAGGTTTTCCCTGTAGCCACAGCTAGCCTGGAACTTGCTATATAGACCAAGTGGCCTCAATCTCACAGAAATCCACCTGCCACTGTCTCCTGAGTGCTGGTACTAAGGGCATGCGCCCCCACACCCGGCTTATTCTTTTATTTTAAATGTCATGTTACACTATAGACAATCCATGGCAGTGGTAAAATGAATAATTTCATTGCAGAATATGCAAAAATGTGACCAAATGTCTTTTAGTTTGCCTTTGGAAGTTTAAGACTCCTTTTCCTTCCAAGAGTCACATTAAGAGAACCAACCTTTAGCTGGGTGTAGTGGCACAAACCATTAATCCTAGCACTCGGGAGGCAGAGGCAGGTGGATCTCTGTCAGATCGAGGCCAGCCTGGTCTACATAGGGAATTCCCGTCAGCTGGGTCTACAGGAAGACCATGTCTCAAAACAAAAATAAAAACAAGGGGCTCAGTGGTTAAGAGCACTGGATGCTCTTCCAGAGGACAGATGTTTGCTAACTGTCCTAACTCCAGTTCCAGGAGGTCCAACACTCTTTTCTGACCTCTGCAGGCATTGTAAGACACAGGTGTACTGATACACATGCAAGCAATATACTCATACACATATTTTTAAAAAATCACTTCAGATTCTTTTTGTCTAAACCAGATACATAAACAAAATCAAACCTATTAGAAAACATTTAGTAATACCCTCAGATAAATTTTTCTGCATAAATGGACACAAATAGCAAACATTATTCCATTGCAAATGAGAATACAAAATGTCCTGCCCTGAGGACAGTTTCTTCTTCATAATGACCTATCAATTGTAGTAATCCATTATGCCCATTTGTTATTTATCCTAGCCATCACAGCTGAGGGCCCTGTACCAGTTTCCCAGGGAACCAGCTCTTCCCAGTCCATCTTCCCTTCTTATCAGCAACTAAGTTACAAAAACCTGGTTCTGTAATTACACGTTAGTAAGGCTCTCGGGGGAAATGAAGTTCCCCAAACTGGAGACAATAGCAAGTATTTTATTCTATTGGTTTGGGTTTTGTTTTAAACTTTTTCCCCAAAGTGTACGCACCAAGGTGATTTAGCCTTGAGAATCTCATTTACAGTTTTCTGGTGGATGCTAAGGAGGAAAGATGAAAATGCCTTCTGAGTGTTGGGCAAAGTGAAATTCAAACATGAATTCAAACATGCCCTGCATTTTGAGCAGAATTGGAAGAATGCTCCATTTCTTCTCCTAGAACTCAGTTTAAAAAGCTGTTTCCCTGACACCCACGCTTAGTTTATTTTTGTTAGTTTGCTTAAGATCCTTTAAGTATGTAGGGATTTCTGTGCGGTTGAAGCCCTGTAACCCCATCATTTGGGAGGTGGAGGCAGGAGCTTCAAGGTCATCCTCAGATACAGAGTTTGAGATCAGCCTGGCTATCTGAAACCTGGTGTGCTGGACATCTTTGGTTGTCAACTTGACACACCTGGGAGAGGGACCCTCCAATGGGGAATTGCGTCCATTGGACTGGCTTTGGCCAAGTCCCTGGGGGCATTTTCTAGATTGTTGAGAGATGTGGGAGGGCCCCACCTATTGTGGGCGGTGCCACCCCTGGGCTGGTTGCTTGTATTGTAAAAGCAAGCAGGCTGAACATGGGGGTGGGGAATCCCCTAGGCAGCGTTCCTCCCAGGCCTGTGCTTCAGCTTCTGCCTCCTGTCCTACCTTGGGCTCCCTGATGAATTGTGACCACCCAGGGTTGTAAGCTAAATAAACCTGTTCCTCCCCAAGTTGATGTTCGGTAGGAGTATTTTGTCACAGCAATGGAGAAACAAACTAGGACACCCGATCTCAACAAAACATAAAAAACCCAAAACCAAACTACGAAGTCAAGGTAAAAATCGTGACTACATTACGGATGAATTGTTCCCGCAGACCTTTTAAATTACTTTGCGGAATTTCAAAAGCTACACCGTAGACGCTCCAGCCAGCACAGATTCTTTCCGCCCCTTCTAGACAAAAGTGTTTTTCTTTAATTTTTCTTAACAGGAGTAAAAGAAATTAGTTTGTAACATCGCAGGCCTGTGCCAAATCAGCATGGGGACGGTAGGAAACACAAGAGGAAAACACCTCGCGGCTGAGCTCCCCCCCACCCCCCACTTACATATAAGCCATTAAATATGAACCGGCGCCCTGCGTTCCGGAGCTCCGGTCGCGTTAAATTGTTGAAAAATTCAGGCTTTGCTTTTGAATTCCTCCAGTAGTGCCCCCATTCCCCCCAACCCTTGCCCCGAGCTGGCACAGCTCTCGGCCCACAAGCCACCTCTTCCTCCTGGCCCAGGCCCACGCAGAGCTGGTCACAAGGGAGGCAGCCGCCAGGCATCTCCTGCGATAAGGTCTCTGGAGGAAAGCCTAGGCCTTTCATACTCTGAGCACCCGAAGCAAACACATAAACAAAGCCCTGGCACATCAAAAGAGGCCCGGAAAACCAGTACCAGGCAGCAGTGAGCTGATGACTTTAGGACCAAACTTGCTGATCAGCTAAAGCCTTTACTCCCATCTCTACAATGGCACGGCTGTTCCCCATCACCCGAGATCCAGGTGCAAGACAGTCAGGCCTTCACAGGACCCACCTGGTACCCTCCGGGTCCCTTAGCTCCTAGCCGCGAGTCCCCAGCGTGCATTTCAGGGTGATGTGGCCGCTAGGAGCCAATCAAGGACACTGTGGGACCCGTTTTTAGTTGCAACGGTAACAAGTCTCTTCCTGAATAAAACACAGGTTTGGGAGGAGCCTGCCAGGTGCAGACCAGGCGTGGAGCTCTGCCGCAGCCTCCTCCCCACCTCTGCCCCGGGAGCATCCCCCAACCTCAGGGGAAGCGAACAGCCAGAGCCAGGATGCTCAGGACCAAAGGCCCCGGGGAACTGATGTACCCCGGCTCCTTCCTCCTGTCCTGGCCACACAATCACTCGCACTCCATCCTCATCCCCGAGACACATTCTGCTGGTCTGTGAATCGGTATTTGAGGTCCTGGGCTGACACCTACCAGACTGGAGAAGACTGTACTAGCTGCCGAGGTAAGAGAAGGACGCCAAAGTCAGCCGGACGTCTGCTCCGGACGCTCGATCTGCAAGGAGGAGGAGGAAGAGGAGGCGGGGCCGCTGCCCTCCCAGCCTCTTAGATTTCTCTATTGTGATTGGAAACCGGAGCCGAGTCTACCCCTCCCCTCGGCTCGCTCAATCCCCTTCAAGGACAAGGGCTCCAGTCTGCACACGCCCTCCCCCTCGCCCCAAAGTTGGAGGTCACCTTCTGGCAGCTGTGCGGCCTCACAGCTTAAGAACTCGCCCTTGCATGCAATGGCCAAGTTATCTCTAAACATGCCTCTTTGGCTCTTCCAGACGGTCCCCATCTTGTTGGCATAGCTTTAGTACTAGACATTTATTTCTAGGTTGCATTCCGGTTCAACTTTAGCAGACTGTTCTCAGTTATGAAGTTCCCCGTGCCTCCCCCTGGAAGGGCAAATGATGCTTCTGAGCCCTTTCAGAAAGTCCACTAGGCCTTACTCAGGCCTTCGTTCCCAGCGAGGCAACAGCCTGCCTCAAACAAAAGCAAAATAACAGAAAACTTAATTTTGATCATCATTATTTTCAGTTCCTTTGATAAAACAATGATACACACACACACACACACACGCACACACATACATACACACCTGAGAAGATCAAGGAGGTCTGGTTTTTGTCCCCCATAAAACTGCATTGTTCTATGTCAGGCCTTGAGGGGAGAAAAATGGGCTCCCTAAGTGAGATCCAGGTTCTCTGGTAGTCTGTGAACAATTTTGTACGCTCTCTCTCTCTCTCTCTCTCTCTCTCTCTGTGTGTGTGTGTGTGTGTGTGTGTGTACACAAATGGATCCCAAGACCTCAACATCTTTTACCCCTGAGCATCAGCCCTGCAATTCTGCAGTTGCATGTTTTCAAGGTGTCTTCAACAACCAACCCATTACCTGGTTTGTTACTTAGGCTCTGGTTAAGTGGTTAACTGGTGGAGTGGAGGTGTTGTGACGATGGAGCATCACATGTGTTTTCATACAATATAGCAATCTCACAGACTCCACATGATTTCTTTCTCTTGTAAATGTATAGCTCTTGCAAATGGCTGTTAATTCTGTAAATAGAATTCTTCCTTGTGCCAGGCACTGAAGACATAAATATGAATATAATGCTATACTAATGAGATGATTCTGGTCCAAATAGGTGAACTGGGCCAAGCACAACACCAGTGCTAAGTGGTAATTGAAATTTGGTACAATAAATATCCAGAGTCAGGAATCATGAAGACAGGTGTACCTTGGGAGAAACTTCAAATCCTCAACGTTTCCCAGCAATTCTAGGTTCATAACATCCAACTTGTGGGGAACTAAAGTGTCTGAAAATATAGTCTAGTTAAAAATCAAAAGAAGAGGGCCTGGAGAGATGGCTCAGCAGCTAAGAGCACTGACTGCTTTTGCAGAGGACCCGGGTTCCATTCTCAGCACCCACATGGTGGCTAACAACTGTCTGTAACTCCAGGTCCAGAAGATCCACACCCTCTTCTGACCTCTGAGGGTATTGCATGAAACAGGTGCACTTACACACATGCAGATAATATACTCATACACATGAAATAAAAAATGAAAAATAAGATATTTTTTAAAAATTAAAAGATAATGGTAATTAACAGTGGTTCATTTACCCTGCACCCAAGTTTGAAGCAAGATCAGCAAGCCACACAGCAAGAAATCCAGCCCCTGCACACTGCCACCAAATTCTGAGGGCCTTACTTCTAAATATCTCCAAAATAAGAGGGGCTCTGTCGTTCAATGGATAGCGCATTGGACTTCTAAATATCTCCAAAATATTCCCTTCTTGTCATCATCATCAAACAGTGAGTGAGTCTTTAGGGTAGGGTTAGCAGAGGGGAGGGGAGCCAAGGTCGCTCTTCCTCCCACACATGCTAGAACAGTGTGTGTCCCAGCACGTGCCTCTAAATACTGGTGTGATGCTTAAGCATTCTTGAGAACTGTTGACTATGGCAGGTTTTGTCTTTTGTTTGTAAGTGTGAGGGTATTGCAAAGATTTAGACAGTACTGCCTCATACCATTCAATTATTTATGAAATCACTAGGAAGTTATATATGTGTGCCAAGTTGTTGAAAACATAAGGAAAATTAGGAATCTACCAAAGACGGAAGTTTTGATGTAAAAATATAAGCCAGCTGGGGGTGGGGCTCAGGAATAGAGTATGTGCTTTCTATATGTGCAAAAAGCCCTGGGTTTGAATCGAGAGAGAGAGAGAGAGAGAGAGAGAGAGAGAGAGAGAGAGAGAGTCTAGGAAATGAAGGGTAAACAGTTAAAGCTAAATAATTCCCAGGGAGGAAAATGGGTTATAAAACTGAATACAAATGCCAAAAGTTGTCAGAAGATAAGTTGTTCTGATTCCCATACACTCCATGCAACCAATAATATATATTGAGAACTTTCATATGTGAACTTCCATATGTGAGAGGAATTGTTTCAAGGATCCACACATGGCGAAATATCGGCTAATGGAATCCTGTATGCTACTAGAGGGCCGCAGGTGAGAAACAGGTGAGGTAAATCAGAGATGAAAAATGAGGTACGTGCAGAGATCAGCTGGCCCCAGAGGGTGGAGGGCTCACATCTGTTGAAATAAGTTACCAGGGCAGATTGAAGTCAGGGTGGTTAATAGCTACAGGATTCAGGATTCAGAAATAACTTAGTGTTACATGAACAGAAGGGTGACCAAGGTTGGTGTGGTGGCTTGAATGAGAATTGTCCCCCACAGGCTCAGGAACTTGAATACTTGGTCCCCAGTTGGTGGTAATGTTTGCGGAGGTTATGGAACTTTTAGGATGCAGTGCCTTGCTAGATAGAGGAAGTATGTCCATGTGCTCTGTGAACAGGTTTAGAGAATTTATAGCCTCAGTTCCCTTCTAGCTCGCTTCTTCGTACTTGTGGTTGAAGGTGTGATCTTAGCCCTCTGGAAGGGTAAGCCCAAATAAAGTTTCCCTTCTATAAGTTGCCCTTGCTCATAGTGTTTTATCACAGCAACAAAAAGTAGTACAGTTTGTAATAGTACATTTGAAAACAGTAGAGAAGATTTTGAACCTTACTAACACACAAAAGCAGTATTTGAGGTGATGGACATGCAAATTACCTTGAGTTGATCATCCTACACTGCTTGCATATATTAAAATATCACATGGGACACCGTGAGTATGTGTAATAATTACTTGACAATTAATAAAACAACTAGTGTTGATCTTCTTTGTATCTTTGATACCTTTGTACCTCTCTGGGGGGGGGGATTCAAAAATTCCATTTCTCTGGTTTTATTCTTCTGTGGCCATAATCCAGATTAACTAATTTTGTTAGATCTGTGAATTCCTTGAAGATGTTTCTGTAAGTACTAGAAGAAAATGAAGTTGGGAGATGGGAAAGGAGCGAGCCCAGAAAAGCACTGAAAATTCACTGTCTCAAAGAAAGAATAGTTAGTGTCTAATTGTCTAGTCATTTCTTGAGAAGGTGTAACATGGGGTACTTTTTCTGTGAAATTATTAACTATCCTTTTTAGAAGGGAGGTATACTTTTAATTATGCTTCAGTTTAGAATTGACTATGGTGTTACCAGAGCTGTTAGGGTCAAAACCTGGGCTTTGGCAGCCCTGAAAATCTAGATATGAACACCTGTCCTCAATAGGCCAACTAAAGAGACAAAACAATAGAGGAACGCACAGAGAGGAAACTTGTTCAATGTAGCCACACTGGAAAGAGGAACAAATCAAGAGGTCCATTGACTCCCAAGTCTGTCTTTGGGGTAGGGTACTGATGTGGGTTAGGCTTAAACAGAATACATAGACCCATCCTTGTCCAGGTATCAGTCTCTCTTGCACGCTGGTCTGCTAAGTTGTCAGAACTGTGTAAAACCTTTTCTGGGAGACAAGTTCCTCCTCTGGCCCTTCCCCACCTTACCCCCACTCCTGACACAACAGTTACAGTGGTGGCATCCAATGGTATAGACTGGCTTGTGTTAAGGGGTATAAGGCTGCAACAGCAGTTTAGAAAGTAGTGCTGTTGGTGACAAATTCCTGGAATGAAACCAACCCAACTGCATGGATTAGAATTTCTCCTGTCCTTCTAGACTGTTTGACTGAAAACATCACTGGACACATCTTTGGTAAAGAATGTCCCTTTCATGGAAAAACATGCCACATAATAATTATTTGCCAAATTATGCTGTTTTCTTTATTGAGAAACATAATGAATCTTTCTTTTCTTTACTAACTTGCAGTGTTGTGGGGGAGACTCAGGGCTTTTCACATGCTAAGTTGAAGGCCTTGTTCTTTAAAGGTAGCAGTCATTACCATGTTAGAGCCCCTGTGATTACCTGTAGGCAATTCCTAGTAAGTTGTTATTGTTGAAGTTCTCTCTTTAAAGCAAGAGGTAGAAGGATCATTAGACCCTCACCCAGCATCTCAACCATTCCCTCCTGGACCTCTGACTCAGCTGTATCTAATTCTGCTCCAACTGCTCCTGGTATTAGAAGGGCAACTGAAGGAGAATCTCCATCTACATCATCTGTGCTAGGGAGGGCTTTTCAGTGATGCAGCCCATAAGCAACTCCTTACCCATGCTCCTGCAAGTAACCTCAGTGGCTTTGGCAGGCGGGCTTTGGTGGAGG